AAAGTTTACCGCAGCATGGAAGATAAAGGAGAGGAAGATCGGAGCACGAGATAGATGGGAAACGCTAACAGAGATCATAAGGCAAGCAGCCGAAGAAGCGGGAATGACGCGATGGGTCGGAGCAGACAGCGAAGGAGCCAAGAGGACAAGTGCAAGAATAAAAGAACAGAAAGGAGTAGTGTGGAAATGCTTGAAGGAATTTCTTAAAAGACCAGAGGAAGAAGAAAAAGAGCGGCTAAGAGAGGCAAGGAGAGTGTTGAAGAGAATCGGGAAGGAGGAAACCGAGGAGAACTGGAGGGAGCGATGTTAACTTGTATGCCAAAATAGAAATCTTACGAAACTGTGTAGAGCACTAAGACCCTTTAGAGCCAAGAAGACGGGAAGAAGCGGCAGTCAGGTAACTGAGGAGGACCACTTCCAGGAACTGCTGAAAAGTAAGGGAGACAGCCCACACAAGGAATCAGAGAGAGAAAAGACGGGCCCGATGAACATAGAGGAGGAGGAGGGCACAAGAGGACAGAGTAGAGGAACTAGAAAGGAAGAAATAGTAAACAGCGAAATAAGCACGGATGAGGTGGAGAGAGAATTAAAGAGGATGAAGAAGGGCAAGGCTGCCGGACAAGACGGACTCTCGGTAGAATTCTTCCAGGGAATGCCGAAGGAAGGGAGAATAGAACTGGCGAAGATTTTAAACGAGCTGTGGAAGAAAGAGAAAATAGCAAGGGGGTGGGAAATCGGAAGAATATACCACATTTACAAGGCTAGCGACGCATCTAAGGCACAAAATTATTGCGGGATAACGCTAATGGATACAGGATACAGAGTGATGACCAGAATATTGAACAACAGAGTGAGGAACCAGCTGGAAGCGAATAAGATAATGGGAGAGGGGCAAGCGGGATTCAGGGCGGGAAGAGGAACTAGAGACCAAGTCTTCATGTTAAACGCGCTCATCAACAACAGATTGAAAGCTTGAGGAGGCAAGCTCTTCACGGCGTTCGTAGATTTTAGAACGGCTTTTGACTCAGTGGACAGAGAGGAAATGCTAAAGAAGCTAGAGAAGGCGGGAGTACAAGGAAGGGCGCTAGGAATGATCAAGAGGATATACAAGGACACGCAGAATGAGATTATAACGACAGAAGGGTTTACGAAAAAATTTAGCACAACAAGAGGAGTAAGGCAGGGATGTGCCCTGAGCCCTACGCTCTTCAACCTGTTCATAGAGGAAATGGAGAGCGAATGGAAAAAACGAAAAGAGGGGGGGGGCACGGTAATGAGAGGTGAGAAGATATATGCCTTGAAATACGCGGACGACGTAGCCCTGGTGGCAGATACTGGTGAAGGACTGAGAGACATGCTTAGAGAGCTAGAAAAGTACTGCAGGAAGAACAAGTTGGAAATAAAATCGAAAAGACCAAAGTAATGATCTTTAGGAAAGGAGGGAGATTGAAAAAAGAGAAGAGCTGGACAATAAATGGTAAAGAACTAGAGGTGGTGAAAGAGTATAAATACCTTGGTGTGTGCTTTTCAACTAGGAACACCTTCGACAAGCACACAAGGATGGTGGAAAGCAAGCTAAGGAAGGCAGCGAACGGAGCGTTGGGAATAGCGAAGAGAGCGAGAATCAGAAGACTGACGGATAGGCTAAGAATAACGGATGCAATAGCGAGGAGCAGGTTGCTGTACGGGGTTGAAGTGTGGGGCTGGAAAAGAAGAGAGAGAGTTGAGAGAGCGCAGGCCAGGTACACGAAGATGGCAATGGGTCTCAGGAGGAATACTCTGGATTACATCTGGAAGATGGAGGCAGGATGCGTAGGGATTGAGATGGAGATGGTAAGGCGGGCCAGTAACTACATAGGAAAAATAATAAAGATGGAGGAAGGAAAATGGCCAAAGAAATGTCTAATGGAGGAGGCGAGGTGCCTGATAAACAACGATGGAAGCAAATGGGGTAAGGAAATGAAGGCAGCATTGGAGAAGGCAGGAGAGGGTCAGATTGGAGAAGCAATAAGAAGAGGAAATGTGGAAGAGTGGAGGATGAAGGCGGGAAGAGCGGTGCAGAAGCTGGCGGGGCAAAAAGTACAGAGGATGTGGGGAAAAATAAACGCCTTAAATTTCTGCGTAGAGTACAAGGAAAGGAAAAAAGCACCGGGAAGAGAAGGGTATTGGGACGAAGGAACTACGAGAGGAGAAAACAAGGAAATATGGGCAAGAATGAGATGCGGGAGCGTAGGGAGAGAAGCATGGAAAGGCTTTAGGGACACGAGGTGCAGAGTATGTGGGAGAGCGGAGGAAACCTTAGGGCACATGCCCTAGGTATGCGAGGAGACCCTGAAGCGGAGGGATGAGCAGACTCATAGGAACTTTAGAGAATGGGAAGAACAGCAGAGAAGGGACCCGGTTGGTGGATGGGAGAAGGCGTTGGAAGGGAAAGTGATAGTAGAGGACATGTGTGAGGTAGCGAGGATTTTTGAGAAGGTAGCGAAGGGAAGGGCATAAGAAATAAGTAGATATAAGAAAGTAGTATAAGAGATGTATGACACTGTATGTAGCAAGGAGGTTATGTTGAAACCCGCGAGGGTAGACATGAAATAAAGTTTATCTGTATCTGTATGTAATCCGAATTGGATAGAGATACAAACTCTATTATTACCAGGACAAAAAACAATTCATCATTATTACATTACTGTACGTGTATTCAAACAAAAACTGATATCCTTATCTGATTTTATTGTTAAATATTCAATTTTTGGTAACACACATTGTTAGCTGTATTGGGTTAAGTGGCGAAAGCGAGGTTTGCCTTGTGCCCACATTTTAATTTGATTTCAAGATAAAATCTGTCTAGAAGAAATTGATCAAATAATTTCAGTCGAAATTCCAGACCCATTAACTGATCAAGAATTGTTTGATATTGTTACCAAACACATGACTCACGGACCGTGCGGTGCTTTCAACATGGCGGCACTATGCATGGAAAATGGAAAATGTAAGAAGAGTTTCCCAAAGCCGTATACGAATGACGCTATCACAGATATTGACGGTTATCCAATGTATCACCGCAGAAATGTTGAGATTGGTGACTACGTATTCACAATGCGACTGCCAAATTCTACAAATCAAGTAGACATTGACAATCAGTGAGTGGTACCATACTCACTATTACTTTCAACAACGTATGAGGCTCATATCAATGTCGAGCTTTGCAGTTCCGTTAAATCAATTAATTACTGTTAAGAAAAATGGATAGTTGGTTAAAGGCCGAGTAACTTAAGAAAATTTATAATAATGAGAAGTTTTATAAGAAGGAATTTAGAAAGGAGTGGGTGAGAAGAAGTCAAGAATTAGAAAAAAGGATAGAAAAAAAAACCTACAGGATAGGAAAAACAAAATGAAAGCAAGAATCAATCTTAAAGATTGAAACAGAAAAACAAACGGAAGTGGAAAAATAGGTAAAAGTGGTAGAAAAAGATGGAAAAAGTTAGAGGCAGAAGAAAAAAAAAGATGCATAATAATAAGAACGCTCAAAAAAGAAAGAAAAGGTTTAGAGAAAGAGATGGAGGCATTCTTTCAACGAAAATTGAACACAGAAGTGAAGGTAGATGAAGCAAATTTAATGGGATATGAGTTGAAGATCATATGGGTACAACTAAGCAAGAGAGTCTTAATACATTGTACGCCGGCCCCGCGAAAACGCGGGATTCGAAGTCTATCGCTTGAGCGCCGCCCCCGCGAAAACGCGGGTTTCGAGGTCTGTCGTTTCAGCGCCGGCTCTGCGATAATGCAACATTCTTTTTTTTTGGCGATTTGTTTGCTGTCGTCATGACTACGCCGATCGTCATTTTTTATTACGTCGAAACAAAATGTATACGATGGTTCAGGAACAAGTACAAACAAGAGTCATTCTTGAGTATCGTGTTCCGTAGCCAGTACATCCTTCATAGCTTTACGCTTTTAGTTGAACAGCATAATAAGCCTTCTTATTCTGTGCATTTTTACCCCTCTAATATGAGTKAATTTACTGACTATATTGCTGATCCTCTATCAGATTATTCAATACMATCAGAAGATTCTGATATAGGGGTCGAGGACAGTGACAGTGATGTGATGCCAAAAAGAAGATCAAGAGCTGCTCCATTACAGTATTCCAGTGATTCCGATGATCTGAGTGATAGTGAAATGTTTACAGAATMACCTAGYTACATCGAATCATGGTYGGATGTTGATAAAGCTCCTAATGTACCAGATTTTATTGCGCAATCTGGTCCAAAAGTCCTTCCTGCCAATAAGCAAAGCATAAAAGAAATTGTGGAAATGTTTATTGGCAATGATTTATTTCAATTGATGGTAAATGAATCAAACATCTATTATCACCAAAATAAGGATAAGATGTGTAAGGGTAAAAAAATGCCTAAGTGGAATGATGTTTCTCTGGCCGWCATGAAGAAATTTCTTGGTTTGATTATATTGATGGGCCAAGTAAAGAAAGATCGAAAAGATGATTACTGGTCCTCAGAGTTTTATACCAAAACACCATCGTTCTCCACGGTAATGTCGCGTAACAGATTTCGCCAGATTTGGGACACATGGCATTTTTCAAATAATCTTACAACAGCTGGTTCTAATAAGCTCGAGAAGATTCAGCCGATACTAAGTTATTTATTAGATAAATTTAAATCAGTATACACGCCTWAAAAAGAGCTTTCGCTTGACGAATCCATCATTCCATGGCGTGGAAAATTGTCTATAAAAACGTACAATCCAGCAAAAATAGTAAAGTATGGCCTACTTTGTCGTATGTTATGTGAAGCTAGAAGTGGATATATTTGCAACTTGGAAATATACTGTGCGAACGGCAAAAAACTGGAYMAAACTATAATGTCGTTGCTCGATAAAAATATAGGTTTGGGATATCATGTATACATGGATAATTACTATAACAGTATTCGTACCGCAGAATTGCTTCTGAAAAATGAGTAAATAGAGGTGTTCCAGAATCTATGAAGCATATCAGTTTAAAAACTGGAGATTATACATTTAAAAGAAAAAATGAAATTTTAGTACAGGCATGGAAGCCAAAACGCAAAATCGTATACATGGTTTCTACAATACATTCGGGAGAACTAACAAACACAAAAAAAGTACATTRGAAAACAAAACAAGAAATTATAAAACCTCAATCGGTCATAGATTATAACAAATATATGATGGGCGTGGATTTGGCCGATCAGTTTTTATCATATTTTTCCATTATGAGGAAAACCGTGAAATGGACAAAAAAAACAGTTTTGTTTCTTTGAAACTGCGCATTGTTCAATGCATATAGATTATATGTTGAGTTCAATGGTAACACTATAAAATATCAGAAATTTTTACATGCTGTTGCACTTTTATGGATCGAAGAATATACAAGTACTCAAGATGTATCGAATGTTCGTGGCGAACAACCTTCGGTATTAGTTCCTACACCTCGCASATCAAAATATKATCACCATCAGAGACTATCGGGTGATATGAAGAAGCACAACGTTACTCGAATTATTGGATCTGGGAACAAAAACCGATATGTACGACGTCCATGCAAAGTTTGCTCTGCTAGCAAAAAAAGAAGCGAGAGTAGCTTTATGTGTTCTCTTTGCCAAGTACCTTTACATCTTGGAAAATGTTTTGAACAATACCATACATCCCTTAAATACTAATATTTTTCTTTGTGTTTATATTATATATATATGTAATAATCAATCATCAAATAAAACAGGTGTATTTTTTTATAATTATAAATTAAATTTGTTTATTTTGCTTCTATTTTTCGTTATCGTTAAATTGCATATAACGAATATGCAAACCAAATTTAGTGTTTTACAATAATGTATAAAATTTTAAATATTTTCTTCACCTATTCATTGGTCGTCAACAAGCGAATCATGCCGGCGCCCACGCTTTAGGCGGTTGACACGGTGCCGGCGCTCAGACTTTGAATGGCTCAGATGCCACCGGCGTACAATGTGTTAACTAGAGTTAACTAGAGTTAACTTAGAGTTAACTAGAGACAGAGTTTTCAAATGATAGAAGAGAACAGGAATTAATTAGAAAGGAAAGAAAAAAGAAAAACAAGAAGAATCAAGAAGGAGAAAAGAAAAAAACAGAATGGAAAAAGAATAGAGGCAAAGAAAAGAAAAAATGTGAGAATAATAGCATGGAATGTAGCAGGGATAAAGAATAAAGAAAAGGATTTTGGAGAATACATAGAACAATTCGACATAATAGGACTACAGGAGACATGGTTAGACAAGAAAGAATGGAAGAAGACGGAAGACTCAATCTCAAGAAACTACAACTGGATAGTTCAAGAGGCAAAGAAGGATAGAATGAAAGGTAGATACATTGGTGGATTTGCAGTACGAATAAGAAAGGACTTAGAGATAAAGAAAGCAGAAGCACGCAATGAAGAAATTATACAGCTTGAGATAAGAATGGTAAAAGAAATTTGACACATAATTGTTGGAAAATAAAGGTACATTTCTATCGTATCATGAGATGAGCGTTGCGAACGCACTCTAAATAGAGTAGAAGTATGCGTGTGTAACTGTATGATGTATGACGTCAGTTGGAACTGAGATGCCGCAAGCGACGGCACAATGAAGAACTGCTCTCGAACGCATGATGTGTAGTTATAAAATAGTCTTTGTTCTTTTGTTTAATAAATAATTAGTAAAATTTTTTTGCTTTATGTTTTTCCAGATCTCAAATCAATTTAACAATAATAATTGTATACAACAGAGGAGGAGAGAGGAAAAAACTGAGAGAAGTGGAGGACTGCATAGAAAGAAATGAAGGAAAAAATTTGCTAATAATCGGTGATTTTAATGCAAGGATTTCGGATAAAGGAGGAACATGCTGGATAGGAGAAGCGGAGAGAAGAAAATCAAAGGACAGAGTGATAAACGCACAAAAATATGAATTACTGAAGATGGTAGCGGAAAACAGCTTAGGAATACTGAATGGAAGCAAGGAAAACGACGAAAAAGGAGAATGGACTTTTATTAATGTTAAAAATAGAGTTACAGTTACATTGTATTTGAATATTAAGCATATACTGTATAGGCACGCATACATAGTAAGGAATAGTATGTGTGTATGTGTGTGTGAGATAAGCTAACTCGTTGTTTTGTAACGTACGCTCAGTTCAAGACGTAACGGCAAAGAAGTCGCAACGCGTATACTTTGTTGTAAAAGCTTTCATACAGTGATTATAATAAAACTTCTCAAGTTACTTTGCCTTTACCCAATTATCCACTTTTCTTTACATGGTAGCAGTTCGTTGGTTTGTTTGGGAAAGGCAGTTTTTGAGTTTTTTTTGTTCTTTGTGCGGAAGTGAAACGCCGAAGTGCCACGTGTTTAGAACGCAAGAAAAGAAAGTTCGAGAAAAGAGAAGAGAAGTTTATTCAAAAGGGAAGTGAATGGAATCACGTTACCAGTGTTTGATGGAAAAAACTATTCTATGTAGAAGAAAAGAGTCTTAACTTCCTTAAAATGGCAAAAATGTGAAGTAGTGGTAACAAGAGCAAAAACTTCTGCAGATAAAGACGAATGGGATGAAAAAGATATGAAAACCCTAAACGTGTGATATATAGTGCAATATCGAACAGGCAGCTGAATTTTCTAGAAGCAGAGACAACAGCATTTGAAATTATTAAGAAACTTGACGAGATTTTTTTGAAAAAGTCGTCGGCATTACAGATTGTTTGTAGAAACAAAATAGAAAAAATGAGATTAGAACAATATAGTGATACATCAATATTTTTTAGTGAATTTAAGAAGAATATTAACGTGCTGAAAAACGCGAGCGCAGTAGTTAGGTAAAAAGAAAAATTAAATTATATCTTAAACACACTTCCATGTAAATGCAGTTACGTCGGAGATTTGATTGACATGTTGAAAGAAGAAGAACAAACTGTGGCATATATTAAAAGTAAAATTCAGTTAAATGAAATGAAAAATAAGATGGAGCAAGCAGATAAAAACACAAACGCGTTTGCTGCAAATAGGAGAATAGACTACAGGCCCGACCTAAAAAATCGATGGATCATGTGATCCCGCAGAAAACCTGTATTGGACGATAGAAATGCATAAAATAATAATTTTTAGCACTATTCCGTGACTTGTAAGCTGTCCAACTGAGTGCAGGTGAGAATTAAAAAGCACAAAATAACCAGGTGCTTTTTTATCAAATGATTTTTTTACGGCATTCTTACCACCTATAGATCCATCAAAAATAATGAGAAAACACGTAGTGCCGTTAAAAAATAGTAAGCCACAAAGTCGGAAAAAATTATTGATTTTCTGACAAAACCCCGGGTCTATTATATCATTTGATTATGAACGGCGTTTGTTTCATACAATTTAAATACTTATTCTAATTGATTATTTCGCCACGCCATGAAAAAATCATGACACAAGGGAGAAAAATCTAGGGTTAAAATCCACCTTTTTTCAAGGGTCTGGGGGATGATCAGATACGACATAAAATTAATTTATTTTGAAAGTATTTCATGCATAGATAACATTTTTTCACATGCCGTAAATTTTTTTTGGTCCAAGGGTCTGTAGGAGGAAAAAAACTTCCGAAAAATCGATGTAAAAAAATGTACTTTTGGGTGATATTGAGTACGACATTTTTATGTACGGCGTTTAGATAGTTTATTTTTATTTAATGCAATCGTCTATAAAAAATCAATGCCGTACAAATCTGGTAGTTTATATTCATAAAAAAGTAATAAAAATAATAACTATGTATAATTTTCATTTTATGTTTGTTTCGTAAAATGAACTCTACTTTTAAATTATTATTATTTAAATAATAAATWTAATTTATTAAATTAATGTTTTATTTATTAAAATACTTGTCTATTTTTTAATTTATATTTTTAATACATACATATAGTGTTCAGGAGGGTTGTATGAACGCGAAGTATACATACAATATAATATATGCGCATATTGTAT